GGTATCAAACCAATCCCAAATCGAAAGCTCGAAATCGCATTAAAGCAGGACATCTGATACACAAACATCGTTGCGAGCTCTAGCATTAATTTCATGACGGCGGACTATCCCTTGTGGACGTCCGCACCCTCTCACCACCACATCATCTCTCGTGATCGAGTTGAGTTACGGCAAAGAGTACAGCGAGAACGCGAAATGAGTTCCAAGCACTGAACGAACACGTACATCATTCAGAATCCTCATCAAATGGCCTTTTTGATATGCATCTGGAGCAGTCGTTGAATGTTTTGAATCAACACACCGTCAGGAATCATCCCTCATCGAGCAGGTTATATATTAACAGATTTTTCACTTACTTGTTCTGAAATTTGTATAAAAACTAGCTTATAATGTTGTGAAACAGCCATTCAATTTTCAACTTAATTGTTTAAAATATGAATTGCAGATGCGGCCGGCTCCTCCTTATGCTGGGACAGTTGCGCGGCATTCCACCTATCTTTGTGGATCAAATCCTCTCTTCTGAAGGAGGTTATCACAAGATATTGTCACGCTATATATAGTACCCTCCATTCATCGCTAGCTATGACATCGCCACCCAAAGCCCACCAAAGAATGTTCGGAAGTAGCGATCTCAAGTCATGATACTCATATTAACGTGTTGTGGAGCTTTGCGAATTTTCCAAAGTAAAGTGGATATAAATGCGTAACATATGTGATGTTTTGTTTCTTAGTATCGTTCCTCATCTCCAATAACATCATTTTTTTGACAACAAATTCAAGTTAGTCATTTCCCAATAACGACCAAATTCTTTCATGTAACAGAAAGCACTCCAGAGCGACGAGAAGTGAGGTCTATGATTCTGAAGCAATGAGTTAACTCATACTTATGCTCATTAAGAATGACTTATTCTCTTTGTAGAAGTGTAATTATAAATTCACAAAGTTAAGCGAAACATTAAATTGTTAAAAAATGAATTTCTAATATGAGGTTAAGGTTCAAGGAAATTCTACAAGGCGTTCCAAAAAAAACTGTCCACTA